AAAAAATGTAAGTACCGATCGTAATGGGGGTGAGTGGTGGTGGGCGACAGTAATGATGGTGGGAGACAATGATAATTGTGGTGGGTGGTGACAACCGTCATGGTGGTGGTAGCCGTGGGTAACAACGATGATGGTGGTGGTGGGTTTTGGATGACGATGATGGTAGTGACAACCGTGATTAACGGTGGTTGACTGCACTGGTGGTGGTGGATGTGGGTGGTGGTAGACGACGGTGATGGTGCTTGGTAGTGGTTGTGGTGGGATGACGACAGTGGTGGTGGGTGACGATAGGTGCTTCTAGGCGACAGTGTGATAGATGGTGGCGAATGGCGACGGTGGTAAGTGTGGTGGGGGTAGGTGACAGTGGGCAGCTGCAGTGGTGGGCGATGACAAGTGGTGGGGATGGGTGATAGTGGCTGGTGGCAATGGTGGGCGACGACGGGTGGTGGTGGGTTGTAGTAATAGGTGACGGTAAACAACAATGGTAGTGGTGTTGACGGTGAGCTGATTAACCATCATAATTACTATTTTATTATATTTAATGATTGATTAATTACATATTATTTGTGATTAAATGTGTTGAATTTCTTGATTTTTTAGTTTGATACTTTTTTTAGTTGTTTGGTTTATTTTGTAGGTAAATTGGTTGATTTAAAGTAATAATGGATAATGCAAGTGAATCAATCACTAGAGGAAGAATCGCAATTGATAAGGATTGAAGAGTCAAGATTGAATAGAGAATTTAATCTTTATAAGAGTCCAAGATGGAAGAAAACTCATTTAAAGTTGGATCAGGAAAGTATCCTAGACGAATAAGGATTTGACATGTCTTCAGTATTCTAATCATAACTTTGGACTTTGATATCCGATTTACTTGATTTTTGGGGGCTGAAAAGAAGACTTCAAAGGCTACAAAAGTATATTTTACGAAATTTTCGTGATTCAACCTCTAAATATGCGAAATCTAAGCTCGAAGTCTGAACAGATTTTGTACCCGCGCCCTAAAGATTTTATGCAACGGATTTAACCTTACAAGACTTCTCTTTGGAAAATAATTCCTTCCAAACCAACCTTATATCTTCTACCTATACTTAGGATTTATTTTTAGTATAAATAGGGGTTTTCATCTAGGATTTAGGAGATAATTCTTTTTCCCATCTTTTCTTTCTAGTTTTAGTTTGTCATGTCTAGCTAGAAGGTTAAGCTAGGGTTAGGGAAGAACCTCTCAATGAAGTTCGATAATGTTATTGATTCTGAGTTTAATGATTTATGATATTTTGTTAATTTAACTTCTGATCTTATAGCAAAATTTTTGATCTGTAAAAATCTTTGAGTTGTTGTGCCATGTACATCGATTACTTGAATTTCCCTGCGAGTAAATAACTGGTTATTCCATGCTTGAGGTAATTATCATTATTTCATAAAATAATATAATTGAATGATTATTTAGGTTCCTAAATAATCTTTTAATTATAACTTTTGGTTTTCTTACTTGATTTGTTATTTGAATCAACCGACATCTGATTCTTGTCTCAAGTTAAGATTTAAGTCTTTAATCATTATTGTATGGAATTGAGAGGGAGTACCTGATGCTCTAGTATTTTTATTATATTATTTTAATTACTCCAATCAATATTTTCTCAACTCAACAATATCTTAAATAAATTGTTCTTACAAGTTTGCTTTTTATTTGTTTTGTGTTTCTTGTTTTTTCAATTCCCTGTGGTTCGACCTTAGACTCCCGAGAAATTTATTACTTCGCACAACCTGCACTTGGGTGATCAATTCTAAAGTTGTAGCATGAGCGACGGTAACAATAAGATGATGGTGGTAATGATAATAAATATAAGAATAAAATAATGATTGTGGTAGGTGATGAATGGTGGCAGTTGACGACGATGGTAGCAATTAATGGTGGGTGGCGATAGTGGTGGTGGGGTGGGCGATAGTGGTGGCGGTGGAGCAGGGAGTGTGGGGTGAGGGTGCAAATGGGGCAGTGGCAATGGCGGTGGTGGGGGTGGCGGTGGTGGGTTGGCAATGATGGTAGTAGTTGTGATGGTCGTGGAAGTGGTATGGGTGATGGTATGACAATGACGGTAGTTGTGGGGTGGTTCCAAATACTATTTTTTTTAAAGTACTTAAGAGAAATAAGTCTTAAAAAAACTTTCAAAAAGTCACTTCAAACACACTTTTAGGAACATCTTTTTCCTATTAAATTTGGAGTTTTAGTATTAGCTGTTTGATTAAATTTAAAAAGATTTTAGCCGCGAATAGTAAAAATTATTTTGTTTATTTTCTGAAATTTAAATTGTATTCTATTTTATTATATCTATATAATAAGATAGCTCACAAGTTGAATTTTATCCCCTACATATTTTCCCCAAAAAATTATCACATCACCAATTTCTATGACATGCCCAATTATTTCAATATTTGATTAATTTATAGTTTAATATCATTTATTATTTAATATAGTGAAATAGATTTGGTTGAGCGTTCGAATTTTATGTTCATAGTGCCTTCAGGCATGAGTTATAACTAGTATATATATATATATATATATATATATATATATATATATATATATATTATACTTACTCCTATGTATGAATCATATTTATGAGATGAATGTATAATACATATACATGAAATGAAACGGTAAAAGATTACTGCAAGCATTTGAATCTTAGGCTTAACACTATCCACCTATGAGATTAGCCCTTATCTGTGATTGGTGTTTATGGTTGTTCCGATTCCTTTTGATCTTCTGATATTAAGGATTACTGCTTGGAGAACCAAGAGTTCAATTACGACATCTTCTTTCTGAGTAGAGTATTTGTTTGTATGGAAGGCCTACTTCAGGCTAACTTCAAGATTATATTGCACTATCCTATATACCTTTTTCACCCATGATTGATTTAAATTTCAAGTTAATAAAACTGTCATAGTTTTTAAATATACCAGCCCAGCACTTCTTGAAATATATTCTTGATGGGGGAATTTTTGGCATGGTTTTGAGATTGGTCGTGGGTGGATTCCTATTTGCTCAAATTAGACTTCACTTACTTTGGAACCTAAAAAAAAAAAAGACTAATTTATATAGATAAGATCTTCACATGTTCTGTTATTACAACAGTACATAAATGAGATTGGAGCATGATAATGGTTACTGCCTGTGTCTTTTTCTCCAGGAATGGTTCATCATTTAGCATATTTTTGCAGCACTTTGTCTCTCTAGGGTAGGGAGTATAACAAATATAATGTTTCTTTTCAGTGTCCTTTTTCCGCCTTGAATTTCTCTTTACCAAAATGATAGGTTCTTTGACAAAGACAAATCCAAGGATATTATGCTCTCAAATAACCTTTCTAATGTCTATCTTCCTCTTCATGGGGTATGGTTGATTTACTTGCCCAAAAAGAAAAGGTTGATTTCATCTTAAATACCCTCACAAGTGTATCTGGACAATAATATCAATGAAGAAAAGAAAAGAAAAGAAATTTCTAAAAATGTTTGATATTTGGCTTGTCCCCTGATGGACCTAAAACTGCCAAAAACATGCAAATTGCATGGATCAATCAAGTTACTCCCGATTTGATACCTTCTAAGATGTGGATCTATCTACAATTGAATTGTGGATAACACCAATAAGAGTAGGATTTTGACAACTGTGATCACTCCCTTGATCAGATTCCGACTTTGACACAATTTCTTATTTAGTACTGATCCCACATTTTATTTTTTGGTAAAAGGTTGCATACACTTACCATACATGATGCAATAATATCAATATTGTCAAGACCTGTATGTAAGGTTGTACTGCTAAATTTAGCACTTAATAATTGATAAAATGTTTGCCAAAAAAAAAAGAATAATCAATGTCCTACCTTTAGTTACCTTGTGAAATCTAAACTACTATTTAACTGTCCCATTCTCTGATCTTATTCCAGTACTCCAGGTGATAGAAACAGAGTGGAGGAAGAAATGAGTTTGGGTAGTCCTTCCTGGCAGTCGCAGGTTTCTCTTCTACTGGTGTTTGTGTTTGTATTTGTTTTCATTAGTCCCTCATGCTCATCTGCAAGGCTAATAGTGATGGCAACAGATGCTTACCTCGAAGAACTGTGCTCCCAGACCACTGATCCTCCTTTCTGCTTGCAATCTTTGAAATCCGATCCACGTACTACCACGGCAGATGTTAATATCCTCGCCCAAATCTCCATCGACTTAGCATCTGCAAGTGCCAAAGAAACCTACACCATGATTGGAGAACTCATTAAACAGGCAACACCTCAGCTGAAGCCGCGATATTTGGCGTGTTCGAAAAGTTATGGTGATGCCATCCGTGACCTTGACGATGCCAAGCAACACTTGAGCTCTGGTAAAAGCCTCAATGGTCAAGCATCGACTGCCCTGAATGCCATTGAAGAATGCAGCGATGAGTTAGAAGCACCACCCGCTGACCCAACTCAACTTCGGCAAAAGAATAAAAATTTTGAAGATCTATGTAGTATAATTTTGGCGATCTCTAATCATATCCCTGTATTTTGATTACTATCAGGTTATTGTATGCCTCATGACACTGTATATCGAGATTTTATTATATCTACTTAGAAAATGTTAAAAAAAAAAAACACTATGGATATTTAAATTAGTTTTATCTCTATTTATCTTCCAACGATATGGATTGTTGCAATATTATCCTTTCACAAGGAAAAAATGAATTTTTTTTTTTGGGGGGGATGTATAGGTCTCCATAAATTTGGTGTTGCTTCTCTTTATTATTGCCTTCAATATAATATCGTTACAAATCTTTAATTAAACGTATTAAGTGAAAATAAACATTAGATAGAGTTGATTTCTCAATAAAACCAACATTAATTCTGAAAGAAACAGCACACAAGCTTTTATAGTAATACCTATAAGAGTCCCCATTGCATCATCCAAATTTCGTACCAAGTGGGAAAGAATACAATCCAAAAAAAAAAAAGATAGAAATATAGAAATGGCCTCCTCTAATGCTATGTTGCTTTCGCTTGTCCTTGTGTTTGTCTTCATCGGTCCCTCTTTGGCAAGGCCTTATTACCATGGCTACAGAACCGTTGAGCTGAGGACGATATGCGATGGCACCATAAATCCTCAATATTGCTGGGATAATTTGAGTCCTGGTTATGGCACCGGTACCACAGAAGATTGTTATCGCGTTGCCGATGGGTCCATTGACGTGGCCTGTAACAGCGCTAGAGAGATTCATGACTTACTCGGTAACATGGTCGAGAGCACGAATGATCCTCAACTAAGAACACTTTACAGGTCATGTGCCGCAAGATATAACACAGCCATCCGCGACCTCGAACATGCAAAGAAATACTTGCTCTCTGGCGACTATCAGCGTGTGGCGTACGAAGCAACACATGCCTTGCAGGATGTCAGTGAATGCAAAGAGAGATTTCCAGGATATTCATATGGCGGTGGCTTTCCAGGTTATTTATTGGACTCATCAAGACTCGCGGAAAGGATGCAGGATTTTGAAGTTCGATGCAGCATTCTGAGCAATGTCGCAAATTATTTTCTAACAAACTAATAGTTGTACGCCCATGACCATCTAATCTAATCGTTTCTTGCTATGATGATGCGATTTTTTTCGAATAATATTACCAGATTTCTCTTCCATTCAAAATAATATATGTCATGTTAATTAGATGGTCTATTTCATATATATACACAAAATTTTTAGTCTGTATTGAATCCAGTTCATTACAGGTTTAGTGACTACGACTTCTCCTGGAAATATAATTAGACTAATTACCGACTCTCTGAGCACGAAAAAGATTCGACCACAAAAAACAAATATATGGCAAGAACACAATCACACCAAAAAAACCCAAAAATTTTATCTACTGACAATAAATCACTGTCAGTTCAATGGGAGAACGCAAAAGTCAATGACAATAACCACAAGGCGGCATTCAGTGGGATGTCCCAACCACCACGGCGTATAACCACAAACAGAAGACTTGCTCTAAATGTCTTCTGTTCAGATTGTTGGGAAAATTAAAAGAGCCTTTGGGTTTTTCCTGGCCATTGCTCGGGTGGTGTAACATGTGCAGTGCAAACCCTGTTATATGAGCACAAGTAAGAGAACGACCTGCACCAATGCTAGATTTAAATTATGATAATTACGTGGTGTTTAAAATGCTCTAGAATTTTGTATCACTATTTTTCCATTGACTTGGATTATAAATATTTATATGACTATAATGACTTATTTTATTAAGATTTTGATTGTCTTCTATTTAATTATCTTTTATTTCACTATTTTCTTTTTCAGTATTTTCTATTTCATTTTCCTCTATTTTCTTATCATTTGTTTCAATATTTTTTTATTTCATTATCTTCTATTTTATTATATTTTGTTTCATTATTTTCTATTTCAATATTTTTTATTTTATTCTATTTTATTGCATTATCTACTTATTCATTTTCAAAATTTTGATCTAAATTTTTTGTTCCATTACTTTTGTTATTAGCAACCAATTTATCAAGAGATCATTTTTGAGATTCTATTAGTTGGTCCATTTTTTTTTAATTTTTCGTATCCACTTGATTCTCTTCTAGGTGCCATATTATTAATATATTATAACTATATAACAACCAAACAAACACAATATATAGTATAGTTAAAATATATAATACAACCTTGAATTTTAGATATATTGGGCTTTGGACCTAAATGATTGATTGAGCTTATATTTTATAAAGCCTTTTTTATATGAGTTATTTAGGGTATTTAAAAATGAGAATTTTGGAGGTCGATTCTCCTATATATACTTGTTTGGACTTAAGTTTGCCAAAGAAACTTATTTATTATGAAGTCCATTTTTTGTCTATTTTACCAGACTATCCCTTGTCTTTAAAAGTGAAGTAAAATTAAAAATTAAAAACTTATAAATTTTAAGAGTTTGACTAACATTAAAAAATTTTCTCTCTCATATCTATCTATATCCATAGGTTAAAACTATATCTCTTAAATATATATATATAGTAACATTAAAAATAAAATAGTAACATTCGTATACAAAAAAAAAGTTATCATTTAAACATAAAAAATAATACCATTTAAACACAAAAAAAAAATAGTAATATTTAAACATAACAAATTAGCAACATTTAAACATAAAAAAATAGTAACATGTTAAAAAAAAAATAGTAATATTTTCAATAAAAATAGTAACATACTTAACAAAAACAGTAACATGTTTAACAAAAATAGTAACATACTTTATAAAAAAGAGAGTAGAATGGAATATTGAACAAAATTGAAAATAAAAATAGTAGTATTTTAACCCATAACCAGAGGAAGAAGCCTCCAAGTTTTCAAAATTTTCATTGTTTTTTGCATTCCTAATTTCAATATGCGATTTATTGTTACTAAATTAAATGATTTAGGTTTCAATTTTTTGGATCTTTTGTTATACAATACAATCGAAAAATGTTTGATTGCGTCACTTGTGGGAAAAAGTTGATGTTACTATAAAGGAAAAAAAGAAATTATTTTTACATATTTGATGTCTTGATATTCACAAGTGGTGATGAGTGTCCGAATTCAATTGACGATCATATGTTACTACTCTAAATAATGTAATTTTTTGATTTGTGGATCGTATTGTGTGAAAAACAAGCGAAAATTATTGTTACTGTGAAGGAAAAAAATATTTCATTGATGTTACTGTGTAAAAAAATATCTTGCTAATGTTACTATGCAACATATATCCTCATGAGTTTTCTTAAAGTCGTTGTGTTACTGTGCATAACAATTTGATGTTACTGTATGGAAAAAAATAGTTGTTACATTATGGTTTGCAATTGTTATTGTAAAGGTTTACATTTGTTATTGAATGAGAGAGAGAGAGAGAGAGTATAAATTTCAATTTTAATTTATGAGTAAATTAAAAAATAATAATTTCTAATTTAAGAAATTAATTTAAAACTACTTTCAAGGTCTTCAAGGTTTCTATAATTGAACACAATAATACTGAAAGATATATTTGAAATTTTAAAAAATAGTGGACTTAAGTACTTATTAGTAAGATAAAAAATGAATTTATCACAAAATCAGTTTCCTTGACAAACTCAAGTCATTATAAGTGTATCTAGGAGGATTCAATCTCAAATTTCACTTTAAAAGTTAAGGGTTTTCTTTGAAACGGGCCTAAAGCCCAAGCTTTTTAAAATATGTTGTTGGACGGGCCTGGTAAGTTGACATGATTGAACACTGGTTACCTTTCACACGACATACATTAATGCAATTAGATATGTCGATATGGCATGGTTTTTGTCATGTTTATGTACTTTGGGTTCTCTAATAAATTAGAATTTTCAGGTATGAAACAAGAATGAACAAATTGTGAAGGCAATTCAATTGGCACACAATAAATCAAGGGAACTACCAATATAATTTGAGAAGATTTCATTATTCGCTACAAGAAGTAGACAACGGGTGTTTGAAACAAGAATGAACAAATTTAAGTCTTGAGATGTTGCCAGACAAAATAAAAAGAGAGAAAGATCGAGAGAGAGAGGAAGAGAAACATGTAGGGATGGAAGATGATTGCTATGGAAGTCGAATAAACGAGGGACCCCACCCCTCTCGGTCGATGTTGCAGTCTTGCAGACTCTTCCCTTGTCATTGAAATGGAAAAATCTATCTACTACTTCAAAAACAGAGGCATGTAGAACTTGCTTTTTTGAAAAAGAAGAGCTCAGATCGCATGGCATTGCATCTCAACAGGAGGTTATAGATGAATCCTATAACTTCACCATTGAATCACCCAGATTAATGAGCTTTTTCATTAAGCATCTCCCATTGCTGTAAGCATTCATGTTAATCGAAGCAAAAGATGCTCTGATTCTCACAACTCAAACTAATAACACATATCGACAAGCGAAATTACCATGGATAGATGCGTTGTTAAACCGTTTGTTCGTCCGTCACTCCATATCATGGCATTCTTGGCACCTTCTATGGAGGAAGAGGTATCTCAACAAAGGAGCAGATGAATTAATCCCCACATATTTCTTTGGTGGCTTGCTGCCATTTGTTTCATGGCTTTCCAACATCTATTTTTCATGCTTGCCTTGGTCTATTCAGGGCTGTTATCTTTGCTGCAAGTTTCAGCTGCAGTATCCCTAGAACCGATGCTGGCTTCTACATATCGTTGAGGGGTGATGGTGAAGTCAAGTAAACACAAGATCTCCAGGTTGAAGGGGCTTGCTTGATCATGGTGCCTATTGGGGAATATTCTTGCTGTGCAGCTTGTGCCACCATGTTGCTTTAGCGCCATGCCTATTGTTTACAGCCCCAACCAAATTGCGGCTTGGGATTCATTGCGGAGAACTGTAATTTTTTTAAATACTACGATTGTCGCCGTGCAATGGATATATATTATAGTCTCCTTCGATGGTTGCATCATTTTTTCCCCCATCTTTCTTTGTAGCAAAAACGCTCTGACATGTGCTTTCAAATGGTTTCACTGTGGCAGACAACACAACGTAAACAAACAGCAAACACATTGATTTCTTAGCTCAACCTTTTAAGCAAGTAATATTTTCTTTGAGTCATAAATTATGTATGTGTTTTCTAGTAACTGATTCCTTCCACGAATTGCTTGTACCACCAAGGAAGTAGAGAATGGATTCTTGTTCCTTGGACAAACAACAATCCACCTTTTTAAGAAAAGTATAACTCCTTTAAGAGCTTTGGAATTAAAGCTTTATTTATTTCATCCATAAAAAGCATGTTAACCAATCTGATTGTTTCATTGTTTTAATCTATTCTAGGCGGTGGTACATTCCTACCTACCTTAGCGGCTTTATTTCCATGGCAGATCTCTTTGGCGACCAAGATGGTACATACGGGCTCCTCTATCTCTCTGCTGTATAAAGTGTATTCTTGAAAGCTTTTATTACATTTGCATGAAGAACTAGTACTAGAGCATGCATGTGTTGTTTTCTCATGAAATCATTTCTGTGGAATCAAACCACTACATTTATTACAAGAACTTTGTTATGGTGAGCAGAGCAAGCTAATCTACGTATTTTCTAATGCCCCTCTAGTTTTAATCCAGTATATATTATGCTTTAAATACAATTGAGTGGAAATAGTTATGCATATTTTATGTATGTGAATAGTCCATACATCACTGCGACGTGACGTGCATGATTTCCAGAGTTCCTGTGAGTACAATTCTAATACCAAATGCTACACCCTCATTTTGAATTTTAATGTTTTATGTTATCAATATGATCATTCGCATCACCATCCTCATTTCATAATTGCTATCGCAGGAGTTCTCAAGTCAGTTTCAGACATACCACCTACTCATTTCACCCTCAAAATTCAATTATTTTCATTACTAACAAAGAACAACATTGAGAGATACACTTCAGGTGATTTCGAAGCTGCAGGTTATAAATGGTACTCTCTCTCCCTCCCTCTCCTTCTGTGTGTGTATTGTATTTACGTTGATTGTATCTCTTTGTCATTCCTTTACTTTTGATGTAGTTGCGACAATAGTTCAGTATAGTGGCTATAATGACCTTTTGATTGCAAATTGCTGTTTTATCAGTTTTCGGATGTTGTTTTATTTGCTGCATGCAGGAAGTTGGTTCTTTACCCAAATGGAAACAAGAACAAAAATATTAAAGAACACATCTCTTTTTACTTGATGATATCGGAAGTTAGTTCATTGCATCCTGGTTGGGAGGTGCATGCTGCTTTTCGACTGTTTTTGTTTGATCAGAACGAGGACAACTACTTAACACTTCAAGGTGTCATCTCCAATTCAGCAATAGTGTTACAGTTTTGTATTGCCTCTTTTTTCTATCTTTGTACTAGTTGTATTGTTCTCATGACTACCAGATTTCGCCACACCAATTAAATGTCACAGTTTCATGCTTCAGTCTAATCTATCAAGTTGCTTTTGTGATACTGGTAAGTTGTTAACTTGCTTAGATACAAGAAGAAAGGGAAGACGCTTTTATGGAATGAAGCTGGAATGGGGTTTTGATCGGTTCATCCCTCTTACTGTATTTTCCAATCCTGATAATGGGTATCTTGTCAACGATACTTGTGTCTTTGGAGCAGAGGTCTTTGTCTATCAGGAGAAAAAAAAGGCTAAAGAAGAGTCATTATTGATGATGAAGGACGCTATTAAGTACAAGCACACTTGGAAAATTGAGAAATTTTCAAAGTTAGACAAAGGGTGTGAAGACTCTGACACATTCAATGCTGGAGATCAAAAATGGTAATGCTGTAATGAATTTCTTCCCGGATATAATCTAGACAAAATCTCAAGAATTATATATTTTCTTTTTTATTTTACCTGTTAATGATGAAAGATTTTGCCCCAAATTTTAAACCATCCCATTTACAGAGTCTTCAGTTAAACTGCATCATACATATTAACTACAACATTGAATCATTTGCTACATGATATTTTTGTTGTTGCTGGTTGTTGCAGGAAGATACAACTATATCCAAAGGGAAAAGGCAGTGGCATAGGAACTCATATATCTCTGTATCTGGCTTTGGCTGATCCCACAGCCCTTCCTCCTGGCTCCAAAATATTTGCAGAGTTCATATTGCGCATACTAGACCAAACGCACAGCAATCATGACTTCGGAAAAGGTAAATATAGGCTGATCTTATGACTCACAGGTTAGGCAGTATAAAAACTGTCTTGGCTCAATGCTTTCCTAAAACTTAGGATTGGAAAATGATCCACTTATATATCAACATGCTCATATAATAAGCTTGCCGATTTCTGTGTTCTTGCAGCGACTTACTGGTTCAGTGCATCAAGCCAACAATGTGGTTGGCCTCGATTCATTTCACTCAGTTATTTCAATTCATCTTTCAACGGCTTTCTGGTAAAAGACAGTAGCTGGGTGGAAGCAGAAGTCATTGTCCATGGGGTGGCTAATGCACAGTAAGAAGTGCTTTATTGTGTCAAATTTGTGGGTGTATATAAATAATTGCACATTGGCACATAATAGATAGCACAATGTATATGTATCTTGTGACTGAATGGTTATGGGTGTTTTTACAAATAGTTCAATGAAAGTACTCTATAGAACATTCTAATCATCATATGCTTGACTAATATTTTATCATTTTTTTTTTTGTGTGAATAAAAGTGATAAGATTTGATCCCGCCAACTACGTAGATAGGTCCTTTTCTTTGTAATTGTGGGTATCACTGCAAACTCCCTTTTGGTATATGGATCTTGACAACCCCCAGAAAACTGAGTAGGCTGACATCTTCAAATAGCAAAGATACCTGTAAAAGATGCAAGCTGGAAGTTATTTTGCCAAACTTGAACTGAACCTTAAGATATAGCATTGTCTTAATTGACCTGCATTGAATTGGTTCTTCTAAAGGTACAAAGGCAATAAATAAAATCTTCCAAAATGATCGTCCTGCCCAATTAACAGAAAGCAAAGAATGATGACGACTTTGAAGGCAAATATCACGACAATATACAAATATTGTTAAAATTCGTAAGGTATAATCTACAATATAACAGTTACATTAGGATCAAATCTTTTAAAAAGATTGCCAGTGTACAAACAAAATGAAAAAAAAAAAGAGGGGAGGATCCATAAATGGTGCTAGAACCTCTACATATGGAATTTTTTTGGCTTGCATTGGTGCCAGCAAAATTGCCACAAAAATGCTAATCTTTTCTTCATGTGTAGCATGCGAGCCTCACCTGTATGCTAAGAGGATGTCCCATCAGATTTTGGCCTTGTGTACCCTAGATTGATTAACTTCTGCACCAGCTTTTTCTCAGCATTTGCCTGAAAGCCCCAATGAAAGCTTAGGGGAAAATATGGATCAAAAGCTGGGAAATAGAACCAACTGGCTGAATCATCTGGCAACTATATAAGGGGGGGGGGAGAGGGAGATTAAACCTCAAGCATGGGGCTATTCTTTGGAATGTTGCAACCCACTATTAGATTAAGACCAGTCTTTAATGCTGTGAAAAAAGGTCGCATATTAGCTCACGGATCTGACGAGCAATACCAGATCCGGTATTATTAGAAGCCCCTCCAAAGAGGGGCATAACACTCACTGTTTTGTTCTGGGCACCACCAAATAGTAAGATCAACTTAAATAAAATGTATGCTACGTTATAAACTGAGATCTTGTGATTGCAGTTGGCCAAAATTAATTCAACATTTGATTTAATCTTCCAAAATGCTATTTTCAAGGCTTGAATTCCAAGCTGCCTAGTGCAGCATTAGATTAATTTTGACAAGGTCTTCCATTTCACTTCAGCCAATTCCATGCTTCCAAACGCAACCAAAAAGGCAACTCTAAAGAACTAAAAATTGTAAACTTACAATTAACAAAAATTGTTGGTGCAGCTGCATATAGATGTCCAAATTTGGCAGAGTTGCAACTGATCCATGCATATGTCTGCACATACAGAAGAAGACGAAAGGTTATCGAGTCTCCATATCAACTGTGGGATACACTGTCAAGTAGAAAGCTAACATACGAAGGAAAATTAACAAAAATAACAGTAGTCATGGGTCCACAAGGATTATCCACTGTAAGTACTTGGCTTACACCTCCTTTTATCTTTTTAGGAATGCTGTAGTTGTATTTTAATTTTCTCCTTTTGTTGGCTAGGGGCTTTTAATTTTATTATTGTGTCCTCCGATGAAACCAAAATGGTTTGTTATCAATTACAATAAAGTTATGATTATCATACAAATTTCTAAGACTATCTACTCGCTTGCCTTTTTTTTCAAAAGCAATATTCAAGTGCTTTGCATTCTAGTCAAATTGGGGTTCAGCTCAAGTGCCGGGACTGGGTGCAGCAGAGGTTGGCACAAGTCGAATATTCACTTCAGTGGGCAGACGTTGTGCAGTACATTTCTCTAATTAAACAACTAAAGAGGGCAATCAAAAGCTTTTCAAATTTGATCAACAATATATAGTATAGTTAAAATATATAACACAACCTTGAATTTAAGACATATTGGATTATGGGCCTAAATGATTAATTGAGCTTATATTTTTGTAAGACATTTTTTATATGAGTTATTTATGATATTTAAAAATTCGAGACATTTCTTTAAAATAGGGCTTAAAGCCTAAGTTTTTTTTAAAATGCTGTTGGGCTGGCCTTAATGATTTGGAGTGGGAACATTACTATTATTACGTAACACCTTAAGAAAAAGTCCAGCCCAGACTAATGGCAGGACAAGACAATATTCCAGCTTGTCAAAATATTATTTTTTCTTGGTAAAAATTTTTAAAATACTATTTTTTTTTCTTAATTTGATCTCTAGATTTTTGAAATATTAAATATAAATTTGATGATACCAAAAATTAGTTAAGATTAAGTTATGACCACTCAAGTTGGACTTCGGACCCCGCAGCTCACGATTACTGGCTTGGGGTGTGCAGGTCATGAATCTTCAACAATGAGACTCTCGTGCACACAATGACAGCGATATCTACCACCTTTCATAAGGTCACATCACGTTTAGGGAATATACAACCATAATGGCCAAATATTTTAGTATATGAGTCTTAACAGCCTCAAGCATAGTTGTAAAAACTGGTCTGGACATCAACCCGACAAAAGGATCAGGTCAATGGGTTATTAGTTCAACCGTCGAGTCACTACTCGAACCGGTTAAATAATAAAAAAATAAAAAATAATTATAAATAGGTTAAAAAATTACAATAATTATGAAAATAGCATACTTAATGTAAATTAGATCAAACAAAACCCCAAAATCATTAAAACTGTATCCAGGTCTTCCAATTTCAAAGTTCCAATACCTAATAGTATAACCTGCCTGCCTGTACAATAGTTGAACCAAAAAAAATCAAAGAATCAAAAACTTCCTCCTAAATACTTTGCACCCTTGTTGATCATGCAACAACAACATCCTTCCCTGCAAAGGAATATTCAATTGAGGGGAAAAATCAGCAGAACCCCCATTTTGCACAGCCTAATTAGCAAAAAAATCAGCCAAATAATTGGCTTCCCTATACACATGAATCAGGCTGAAATTCATTCTGTATAGGAGTCCCTTAAATTGCCTCAACAAACCCCAATATTTCCATGCCCTCAAATGCCCTTTCATAACCATACCAACCATCACCTCTTCATCTGCCTCTAATCAGCACAATAAAGGCTTATTTCTATAAGAACCCAGATTGATCAGAAGATATTCTCTGATGAATATGGAAGCAGAACTTCACCAAAACCAAACCAACCAACTCACCAAGAACTGAAGACCTCACCCCTGCCCAGAACAGTTACAACTAGCGCAATGAGAAGTCAACCAACAACTACCAACCAAACAAACTCATATAGGAAAGAGAGAGATAGAGAAACTTAATACCTGAGATGAGAGAGAAGGATGAAGATCTGTTGTGGCCTATGAGTCGAAGTCTCGAAGATCTAATATTTGAGTCTTCAGAAAAATTGATTCGAAGAGATGAATGGATCTGAATTTTGAGTACTTCAATTTCGATAATCGATGCTCGATAGTTCGATTGAGTTGGATGATCAGTGATGTGCTGTTGAGGCCTAAGCCGAGTATAGAGCGAGCATAGAGGGAGAGAGAGAGATCCGCGCTTGCGAAGAACTAGAGCAGAGGGCAATCGTCGTTGAACCAGAGAAGAGGGAAAAGAAATAAAATTTTGGGCAAAAATGCCCTGGAACATCATTTTTATAGCTGTCAAATTAAATCGTCTTGATGGGTCAGTGAGTTTATTACAAAACTGGCGGGTTCAGCGGATTTTTATCTGTTCTTTTGCTCTAAGATCTGATAAATGAACTGGCCCGGTTCAGGATCCAGTTAATCGAGTCAACTCGTTAGGTCGAGCTGGATTTTAAAACATTGGCCTCAAGTGAAAGTACAGTGATTACGCTAGGAGGCCATTGATTACAGGGGGATCAAAATGATCAAGCAAGACAATCATGTAGGACAACTGTATACTATAAATAGAGAACAAATCCCTCGCATTTTTAATCAAACAGTCATCTGTGCATTTATTCTGTGTAATCACCTTCTCCTCAATTAATAAAAAATTTCCCAAGAGCAAGAAATTTCATTAAAGTAGATTAACCAAGCTTTCGAGCTACTGAACCACTATAAATCATCTGTCTATTCACCTTTATCCTTGGCCATCTTATAGCTTAACTCCCATGAGCCCAGAAGATTTGACTAGATATCCTAGTGATTCTCAAATCTCCAAACAATTCACCTCTACTCAGCTATGCAGAACACACCATCAAAATTAAATTTTTAATTCAAGTTTTGTGCATGGAAGCTTTGTTAATATAATTCGGAGATCAAATATAAATAAATCTGCTATTCATTAATTTTATTTCAATAATGAAATGGATGATTTTGGGAGGGATGAATCTAAGAACTTGTTTGTTCTGAATTATTCCAAAAGAAATTGGATGTTGTTGAAGATAGCATAAAGAAAACTCCATGTTTAAGAGAGAAAACTTTGCAAACCAACCATCATTACCGTTAACTGTGAGTAGTAAGCTATTCATATACAATTTATTTTTTAGTCAACCTAAATGGATAGTTCAAGTGGAGGTAGAGACGAGTTGTATAAACTCAAACGCTCTAAGTTCTAAACTTGACAATCCCTTTCAGGGCCTCCAATAACTAGGCCGAAGAGGCGACCACTTTAGACCCCATCTAAAATGATGGCCCCATTTTTTATAAGTCTTCAGTATGATCCAAACCAAAAAATTAAACTCAAATAAAATTGAGTCCAAGCAAAAAGGTCCTATGTACTTTAAACTAACAAAATTTCTAACAAAAATAAGCCTAAAACCTAAAAGTGTTTGTGGCATAGCAAAAGTAAAAGGCTCACAACCCATTTAGTTAAAAACATGAAATTTTAGGAGTAATTTGAAAATCGATACAAAAAATTTAGACTTATTTGAGCTAAATTAGATTAAGAAAACTTATTTAGCTATAAGTATATTTTTTTGAAAAAAGACTAAATGGGTATTTCTTTCTCAATTACTCTATCTCTCTCTCCCTCTCCATTACTCTTTCACTCTCTTCCATATTTTTCTCTCTATCTATTTCTCTCTCTCTTTTCTCTCTCTTTCTTTCTCTCATATTGATAATTTTTTTTAAAATTTGTAAGATTTGATTTAATTTTTTTCATCGCTCTCCCCCTATTTCTCTCTCTCTCTCTCTCCACTTATTTCATTATTCTCTCCCTTTTTCTTTCTCCTTATATCAACGTTACACAACACAATTTTTTTTTCTAAAGCCACCCAGTGTGGGTGGGGGGGTTGGCAAGACCCCTACCTGTATATATAACTAAATGAAAAAAAGTACAAGCGAGGAGGACAGATAACCAAACCTCCAAAAAACAAACAAGAAAAACATGAAAACAAAGTGGGGACTCCCCACAGAACTAACTGAAAATAAAATAAAATCACCGACGTACGTGAGGAGTCTGTTGAGCATCAAAGACGAGGATGCCAGCAATTCTAGAAGGAAGAGATGACAAATCAGAAAATCGTTGATTGAGCTGCAACGTTACATAACACAACACAATTACACTAATCAATTACACCAATTAGTTACAATTACCCTATAATACAATAAACAATTATTCATGTGTTATAATAAACCAAACAGTTACACCAAACAATTATACGAAATTATAATACCAACTTATTTTGTTATTTAGTTATTTACATAAATCAAAGAGTTACACCATTTAGTATCACGACATGGTTACACCAATTATATACACCAAATTGGGTTTATCAGTATACAAAAGACTTTGCCATTATACTAAATTTGGTATATATGATTGGTGTAACAATGTCATGATACTAAATAGTGCAACTATTTAACTTATGTAAACAACTGAGTGAAAAATTGAGTTTATGTTATAAATTTGTGTAATTGTTTGGTGTAACTGTTTGATTTATTAGAACGCATGAATAACTATTTGGTGTATCATAAGACAATTGTAACTAATTGGTGTAACTGATTATTGTAATTATATTGTTGTAATGTTGATTTATTTAGAGAGAGAAATGGTTAGAGAAAATAAGGGGAAGAAAGATGAAAAAATAAATCAAATTTTTACATATTTGAAAAAAAATTAAATTATCAACGACAGATATAAAGAGAAAGTAGGGGAGAGATGAGGAAAGTCATAGGGAAAGGGAGAGAAAGATGAAGAGAAAATAGGGAAAAGATAGTGGGAGAGTCTAATGAAATATTTACATATTTGATTAGATATATAACTGTTAATGAAGAATGCATAATTTAAGGGAAGGTGTTTAGGTAAAATCATTTTTAATTTTATTTGAATTTTGTACCTAAACACAATATGTTTTATTAAAATTGAACTTAATAAAATAAACAACTTATCCGTACATTTTTTTTCAAATAAGTCTAAAAATGTACCTATAGCCAAAAATCCCAAATTTTAGTGCAAAAATGAAGAAGTCAATAATCAATACCATTAATTACTCTTTCTAACCGATCAATTACATCAATCAAAAACATTCTCTCTCGTATGTCTCTCCTGTTAAAACATCAATCCCTCTCTCTCTCACACACACAAAAAAAATTAATTTTTTTTTATCTAAAACAAAATAAAGGATTATCTTTCCCCTTTGACTTGTGACCACCTTTCTAATTCACACAACAAATATCATCAAATCAGCCCCAGTATATTATTTTATACTAGCACTTTCTGTGAAGACCCTGGTCCATTACCGGACCCCTGTCTTCCAAGAGCATTCCTCCCATTACCGGGATATCCCGCCCTCCACCAAAGGATTTCGGCTAACCTGCAGGACTCGCCCCACAGTAGCCTTTACCTCTGTCCCACATCGGGGAAAGAGTCGTCTCCCCACCCCCATATAAGCCGAAGCACCATATGAGAGCAGTACCCAAGTAGCACACTGAGTAGCACACTGTGGTACTTGGGTACTGCTCTCATATGGTGCTTCGGCTTATATGGGGGTGGGGAGACGACTCTTTCCCCGATGTGGGACAGAGGTAAAGGCTACTGTGGGGCGAGTCCTGCAGGTTAGCCGAAATCCTTTGGTGGAGGGCGGGATATCCCGGTAATGGGAGGAATGCTCTTGGAAGACAGGGGTCCGGTAATGGACCAGGGTCTTCACACAAAAGGCGCCTTTTATGTGAAGACTCCTCCCATTACCGGGATATAGGTCTTCCAAGAGCATTACCGCCCTCCACCAAAGGATTTCGGCTAACCTGCAGGACTCGCCCCACAGTAGCCTTTACCTCTGTCCCACATCGGGGAAAGAGTCGTCTCCCCACTCCCATATAAGCCGAAGCACAATATGGAAGCAGTACCCATCTAGCACTAGTGCTATTTGGGTACTGCTTCCATATTGTGCTTCGGCTTATATGGGAGTGGGGAGACGACTCTTTCCCCGATGTGGGACAGAGGTAAAGGCTACTGTGGGGCGAGTCCTGCAGGTTAGCCGAAATCCTTTGGTGGAGGGCGGTAATCCTTTTATGTGAAGACCCTGCCCCATTACCGGGACCCTGTCTTCCAAGGGTTAACCTCCCATTACCGGGATATCACCACCCTCCACCAAAGGATTTCGGCTAACCTGCAGGACTCGCCCCACAGTAGCCTTTACCTCCGTCCCACATCGGGGAAGGAGTCGTCTCCCCACCCCCATATAAGCCGAAGCACAATATGGAAGCAGTACCCAAGTAGCACACTGTGGTACTTGGGTACTGCTTCCATATTGTGCTTCGGCTTATATGGGGGTGGGGAGACGACTCCTTCCCCGATGTGGGACGGAGGTAAAGGCTACTGTGGGGCGAGTCCTGCAGGTTAGCCGAAATCCTTTGGTGGAGGGTGGTGATATCCCGGTAATGGGAGGTTAACCCTTGGAAGACAGGGTCCCGGTAATGGGGCAGGGTCTTCACATAAAAGGCGCCTTTTATGTGAAGACTCCTCCCATTACCGGGATATAGGTCTTCCAAGAGCATTACCGCCCTCCACCAAAGGATTTCGGCTAACCTGCAGGACTCGCCCCACAGTAGCCTTTACCTCTGTCCCACATCGGGGAAAGAGTCGTCTCCCCACTCCCATATAAGCCGAAGCACAATATGGAAGCAGTACCCACTGCTTCCATATTGTGCTTCGGCTTATATGGGAGTGGGGAGACGACTCTTTCCCCGATGTGGGACAGAGGTAAAGGCTACTGTGGGGCGAGTCCTGCAGGTTAGCCGAAATCCTTTGGTGGAGGGCGGTAATGCTCTTGGAAGACCTATATCCCGGTAATGGGAGGAGTCTTCACACTTTCTCTTTTTCAATATTATTTTGTACAAAATATAGTTTCAATCAACTTATTCACATTATAATATCCTAAGTTTTAGGAACACTAATGATAAAATTAAATGTTATTGTTTTATAATTTTGATTTTTATTAAGCTTTTTATAGAGAGTATTTGATTGATTTATAAAAAAAATTGGAATGTCAAAAAACTATGGCTACTAAGAAACAACAATTCAAATATAAGGAACTTGCAAAAAAAAGAAAAAAACAGAAAAACTTATTGAATCACAAAAAAAAAAAAAAGATCTATTAATAAATTTATTATGAGTAATAAAAAATAACAAAAGATTTAGTTGAAAGTTTTGAAATAAACAAGTGATAAGTCTTAAATAATTAGAAG